TAGAAGAGCAGGAGTAAGGGCGTAAGAGGGTGAGGAGTGGAGGATAGGAAATAAAGAATGAAAGATCACTGAAACAGGAAAGGAGGAGCATGAGAATGGGAGTAAGTGAGTAGGACTAGGCAAATGGGAATAGGAAGGCGCGAATTGGAGAGTGAGAGTGGTAGAAAGCAGGAGTAGGGTAGTAGGAATAGGAGAACTTGCAGGTGACTTTGGGCTGCACAATCTTAAACCCGACGAGGAGCCCGAGCAGCTACGACACCTCAACCCTGAGCCCTAGCTGAATAATTTAGACTCAGTACTATACAAAGAGAGACCCGTCAAATAGTACATAAAGGTCCTTGCCACATAATTCTATATTTCCTACTTTCATATCCAAGGCTCATCTGCAGGTGTGCATGCCGGGGTGTCCGGGTGCTCAGCATCACGATCCCGTAGCTGTTCGACGGCCTTATAGAAAGCAATAACAAAAATGTATAAAGTATAATTACATACATTATATATATATACACAACTTGAATAGCCAAGACTCGTCTGCAGGGCTGTCCGCGTCCAGAGCATCCTGTAGCTGTTCGACGGCCATGTTCGATTGAAAGCAATAACAAAGATGTACTTGAAACCTTACCCTAAAGTAGTCCTGCTTGAAATTCAGCTTACGCAACGCAATGCCGACCTGCACATACCCTTGTCAACATCATACACACACGCACACAGACACACACGCACAAACATGCACGCACAAACACAAACAGATGCATCACTGCTTGACTGTCACAGTTACACGAGCAAACATCCAGCCTCAGCGACAGACAGACGACCATCCACAAAGGGCAACCGGTTCAACTCTTTGGTGACGTCAGCAGCCCTCACAGTGCCCTGCAGCAAGGTCACAGCACAAAATCAACCACAACACAAGACAGAACGATTATTACGCTCGCGATCCACAACACCCCTACTCCGCATTCGACGACCAGCCTCCATTTCGAAGATTCGCGCATAGCCTAAGACAACCCCCCAAGTTCATACACGCAGCATGGACATGCGGATGGAGTGACATTTAAAACGTGTCGGACTCCGGATTTCTTGACGTCTTAACATCTGTCCACCCAAGTCACTGTTCTTGATAATCTGCACAACGTCCAGAGGGCCCTCCTGGCGACCGAATCCAAGATAAAACACAACAAGAGACGAATCTCTTCGAGCCTCTACTGGGTCAAAGGGCACAGACTTTCCGGAGTGGTGGTAGATGATGCGGCCCTTGATGCGCTCCCAGTTGATGGAGGTGCGGCCATTAGTCTCCTGCTGGATCAATCGCGAGAAAATGTCGCTTTTTGCGTAAACTTGTTACGAAACGAGATAGTGTCATAATTGCAACGCGATCAGGAAAACAAACAGCTTACACAGCATCCCTCAACCCCACACTCCAGTCCTTGATTGAGGACACGCCGAAACAATTAGCCAACCGCGGCTTCAGCGGCTAGCCGCTTCTTCTCATCATAGCCGCGACCGCCAGGCCCGTAGTGCCTAGCAGCCACGGCAATGTATTCGCACCTGCTGCAAACGGCGCCAATGCCACCAGACTAAGCGATAACAGATATGCACGAAGAAGCAGACCTACCATACCAGACTGCACACAGCAAATCTAGGCAGTCCCGTGTCTGCCGAGGCACCGAATGTTGAAGCCAGCAGACGCGAAGGCTAAGCTGGTCAATATCCAATCCTTGAAACTAAACAACTGCCAGCACGCCACAAATAGAGACAGATGCTGCAGAAGATATTCGCTGTTGCAAGCAAGCACCTCTGGATATTCCAACTCTTTGGTCCTCCGACGCACCTGGACAATAAAGAAAACCACAAGAGCAAGGTTTCGTAGAAATTACTGAGGAGATCTTTCTTATTGGCTTGCACCTGAAGCGAATCCATGGTGGTCACCAGGCTCGTCTTAAATGCCTGAGCAAAGGAAAGTTTCAAGCACCAGCTGGATTCGACCCAACATCTGCGAGACCTTTCTCACTAGACCTTCGTGCTGGAAAGTTGCATCTTCCGGGCGGCAGTTGAGGGGATTGCTGCTGATAAACCCAGCAAGGCGACCCCCATAAGTGAAAAGGCCTTTCACCATGACCTCGTATCACAGATTGTGCATTCTTGTTTATGACGCAAACAGCTCCAGAATGCTCTGACCTCAATGGCGCGACGTAGGTCTTCCCGCGTGCATCTAGCATAGGTTTTCACTTTTTTTTGCTACAAACCATGCAGGTCTGGATACAGTCTCGAGATCGGTGTATACTGCATATGTGGGTTGTCTCCCCCGGCTTCTCACCTCCCAAAGATTTGCTACAAGTGGGCGTCACAACACCTCACAAAAAAACAACAAAAAGCTAAGCCACATCACGAGCAAGCCTACAAAGGCGCCGTTGACAGCCACGATATCATCGACGGCTTGATGATGAAAGGACACTCGTGCTTGCTGCCCAAGTCTTCTAAGTCCTCATGCTAGCCAATCGATACCCCAAAGATTTGAAGAATGCATGATTCTTCACTGTGCACTACATGTTATATCAAGCATATAGAACGGATCGCTCGTGTAGCCTACAAGTGCACAACCACTTCCTGCAGCCACTCACGAGTCACCTTTACACTCAGTACTTCGGTCCTCCGCTCCGATGTAAGCATCGGCCGCAGCCAGGCCAGGCATAGGCTGGACAAAGTAGTCGAGCTCGGCCTTCTTCAAGAAGCTCTTGTAAATCTTCACTTTTACACACCAAAACATCAAGCAATACATGTTTCGCAAAACAGAACAATTGCATGAATTCTTGTTGTTTGATAAGAGGGTTGCACGAACCCAGTCAGCAGCCACAGAGAAAGCATAGCTTCGGTCATGCACCTGGGTCTTCGGCACCACCGCATACTTATCGTTCTGCGGAAACAGTTCCTGTGATTACACAACCGAGCTACAAAGAGCCTTGCATTAAGATCACGGCAAACCAAACACCTTCATTAACCAGTGCTAGAACCGTCCTGCAGAACGTAGCCAGATGTGAACTCTTCCAGGCTGGCGCGGTCCTTGCAGTTTCAACAGGTGTCGAAGCGCTGCTCTGCAGCAGAACACCATCAGCAATCCTTCGACACGACGATGACAGGAATGGACTCAAAGGAAGGAACCTTTGCGAATGCATGGCGGTCAGAAGCAAGAGCAATGCACTTCGGCAAAGCCAACAGCTTCTTGTAAGCAATCACAATTCTTGCCGAGACACTCTACAAGCTGTCTCGAGAGGCTTTCTGAGAGCCCTTTGTAGGGTGCTTTGAAATCGTTTGGAAATCAGACGCTCTGATGGCCTTGCAAATATTTGGACGCGTCCCAAAGAACCGCAACCGCGCCCGCGCCCGCGCCGCACCCCCCCGCCACGTTCAGATCCTGAAAGGCTCAAGGAAACCCTTCAAATCCTGAAGGGCTTAGGGTAACCCTTCAGATCTCGAAAGATTTAGCGAAACCACAACAACAACCACTCCGGTTTTTTCTTCAGGCCGCCCCGCCAGTGGCGCAGCGCGCTCTTGTCCCGGCCAAAACCTAGCAAGAAAAGGGGGTTAGGGGTTCCGACCAAACCACATCCTTAGCCTCGAACAAAACAAGACAACACGACCAGCTGATCCCGGCCCCCACAACGACAACATTAAAAGAAGAAAATAACAAACCGAAGTGGAACCCCTAAACCCAACTCCAATTTAGTGTGTATCTGCATGGATTTAGTGTGCATTTGCACGGATTTGGTGTGATTTGCACGGATTTGTGTGTGTGTGTGTGTGTGTGTATTTGCGCGGATTGAATCTGCATTTGCATGCATTTAGTGCGTGTTTGCACGGATTTAGTGTGTATTTACACGGATTGAGGTGTATTTGCATGGATTTAGCGTGTATTTGCACGGATTTAGTGTGTATTTGCACAGATTTAGTGTGTATTTTCACGGATTCAGTATGTATTTGCACGGATTTGGTGTGTACTTGCACGCATTTAGTGTGCATTTGCACGAATTTAATGTGTATTTGCACGGATTTAGTGTGTATCTGCATGGATTTAAAATGCATTTGCACGGATTTAGTATGATTTGCACGGATTTAAATGTGTATTTGCCACGGATTTAGTGTCTATTTGCACGGATTTGGTGTGTACTGATTTAGAGTGTGTATTTGCACGGATTTAACATGTATTTGCACCGATTTAATACCCTAAAGCCCGAATTGCACGACTTCAGTGTGTATTTGCACTGATTTAATGTCTGTTTGCATGAAATTGGTGTGTAGTTGCCAAAATGCACCCTGCGCGCGAAGCAGCCGAAGAAACTCGCAGACCCAAAACAACCAATAGAAACTAAAAAACCACAAATAATAATAAGAAACCTAGTTTAAAGAAAAACGGAGCGCTTTATTCCCTTATTCCCTTAATACTATATTCCGCAATTCCCTTATCTTACCTAAACCTCCACCCCCCCCAGCCCCCTCCCCCCCTAGCCGTCGCACCCCTTTCAGGCCCCAGACACAAGGCTCCCACCTGTCGAAAACTGAACAAAAATTCGCAAACCCAACAAAATCCCCAAAAAAACAAGCCAGTTTACAGAATTCAAAAACGCACCCCACACACGAAACAAGCTCAATAAACCCCAAACCCCTAATTGCACGACTTCAGTGTGTATTTGCACTGATTTAATGCCATTTTGCATGAATTTGGTGTGTAGTTGCCAACCTGCACGCGAAGCAGGCGAAGAAACTCGCAGACCAATAGAAACTAAAAAAACAAAAAACAAAAAAAATAGTTTAAAGAATCCCAAAACGCACCCCCCACACACGAAGCAAGCTCAATAAACCCGCTCATATAAGGAACCCTAATAAAGGCCCAAGGTTTCTTAATCAGGTTCCTACATTTTTATATTACCCTTATAGATCCCTTATAGTTACCCTTGTAGACCCCTTTAAAGGAATCCTAAAAAACCTACTCCGGCACGAGTAACAGCCTGGCTTCGAAAGCGACTGAGCAAACGCCTCTGCCGCAGCGTCGCCGATGCCAGGGTTCTGCCGGAGCTTCAACGACGCCAGCCCTTGGCCAGAAGATTACTTGGAGGTTCAGGGCTTAGGGTTCAGGGTTTAGGGTTTGGGGTTTAGGGCCGGCAGATTACTTGGAGGTTCAGGGGTTGTTTATAAGTGGGGTTCTAAGGCCCCGAATATGGGTTATCAGTATATTTGCCCTACTTAGAACCCTACTTATAACTACCCATGAACCTCCAAGTAGGGTTACAGATAGTGTTAGTCGGGCTTAAGGTCACAGTGAGGAGATCTTGAAGGGCGCACTCTTGAACTTGCCAGAACCCTGCAGCCTAAACACCTAAACACCAAGCTACTACTACCCTACCCTACCCTACCCTACCGTACCCTACTACTACCCACCCTACCCTACCCTACCCTTACTGCACAAGCCTCTTCGGAGGAGTCGTCGCGCTCGCATCGCAGAAACCCAGTAGAGCAACCCGGATCGACCTGCCCTACTATAGGGGCCTTAATAATTGCCTATACATCTTGGGGGTTCATTGTAGAAAAATCTAACCCAAAACCCTAGTCTTAATTACTTAGGCCCCTATGTTACCCCATTAAACTTGGAGGCCCTCATCTCCACAAGACATTCGCGAAGCCCTGAACCCTGAGATCTAAGCCCTAATCCCTAAACCCTACACTGCACCTGAAAGCCCTACCTAGAGGTTCATGGGTAGTTATTAAGTGGGGCTATAAATCCTCTTTTCTGGGTTCTAAGTTTAAGTACCCTACTTTTTACCCTACTTCTAACTACCCATGAACCCTAAACCCTAATCCCTAAACCCTAAAACCCTATAGATCCCTTTAAAGGAACCCTACTCCTCCAAGTAGACGAAGCTCCAGGGCTCCATCTGTGCACCACAGTGAACGCTTGCGGAGTTTCGCCCCCAAAAATCCGATCCTCTCCGGAGAACAAGCCCTGCCCTCACACAAAACCACCACTTAGAGGATCATGGGACTTAGTAAGTAGGGTTATAAGTAAGGTAACTATCTTTGTAACTACTTATAACCCCAATTAAGGTACTTATAACCCTACTTACTAAGTCCCATGATCCTCCAAGCACTGGAACCACCAACCCCTCAGCACATGACAAAAAGAAGCCCAAGGCCCCACCTAAACCCCAAACCCTGACTTCTCTGCTGCCACGCTGGCGGCAACCGCTTAGAGCAATGCCGAACTCCACCCAGGCATCTTCAGTTGCAGACCTGATAAAATCGAGTTTTTTTGCAGGGCGGGGTTGGAAGCCTTCACCTTGAATCCTAAACCCTAAATCCTAAATCCTAAACCCTAAACCCTAAATCCTAAACCCTAAACCCTAAATCCTAAACCCTAAACCGTTGGGTGCTTCAGGGAGTTCAAAGCTTCGGGGGCACTCTGAAGAGCTGCCGGCAAGGAAAGCAGAGCCTCGCGCCTGGCGCTGGAGAGATCCAGGTCCCGGAGGGCCGCGCCGCCCTTGCCGAGGACCTGCCGGCGGCCACGGTTTAGGATTTAGGGTTTAGGGTTGCGAGGTGCAGGGACGGCCTCTGGACCTCGTACAACTGTCTACATATGATACCGATACATATATATGTTTGCATATACAGACATACGTACATGCACGTACACATATGCATATACTTTGAGTGCGCAGCCGGTCGAGCCTGGCCTAGCGACGAGTCTGGAGACAGGCGTTTAATCGCCCGGCCTATGGCGTGCCTTGTTTTGGCACTCTCGGAACGAGCTAACGAAAGAGCGACATCCTGCGCCGAAGCGCCCGAGGATGTACATGAGACATCCAATGGATATAACTGAACCATAGATCAGGGACATTGTAATCTGTAGAAGAGGACATATCCTTCCAATTGTAGTAAGGATGTTCTCGCACTCAAGGTGTCCGGCGAGGCACAGACTCCATCATCAGTGAGGTAGGTTTACAGGCTTTGTGGAAGCGCTCCCACAGGATCAGATGATGTCGCTCTTGTGACACTGTCTTCGGCAACAAGCAGGGCCCGGTAATGACCTTGCGTGGCCTGAGCACCCCTATGCAAGCAAACCGCCTCAAGACAATAGGCAACAGCGATGGTGTCAAGCTCAGGTCCATTAAACATTGGAATATGGATGATTCGCTGACAGTCAATCGGTGTGCAGTCTTTGGAGGATTCTGCGAATCTGGCGATTTGCACAACAGCAAGCCTTGGCAAAGGCTCATTGAGGGCCTGCACGTGGCCCTGAGTGGACCACAAGTTGATCAGCCCTTGCACATCATTGCTTGCAGAAGTAAGCAGCAGGCGAAGCACAGCTGAACTCTCGGTGGAAAGAATGTCAATACCTTGATCAGTCTGCACACGGGCCTGAGATTGCATCATGATATTGGTGATACCAAGGGCCGACACCAAAAATTGTGCGAACTCGGCCACATCATGCTGCCTGTGAGGCTCCTGCCAGTCGCGAGTAAAACGCAACCAGTCTGGTAACTCCAGGAGACAGGTGCAATTGCGGACCTGAAGCAACGACTGAATGAACACTCTGGCATCTGGTGTAACCTGTGCAGCAGGATGATCAATGGGCCAGCTGCTCCACAGCCATGCAAGAAGAAAAGAGTGTGCATAACACAGGTTAGACGGATTATGAAGCCTCAGCGAGAGGACAGCTTGGCGATCTGCATCTGTACGTGATTGGCCAATGCAGACCTCTGCAGCTTGTCCGGCCGGATGTTGAACGATGCCACTTGGGTGATGGCACACTGGCTGAGGGATTTCAGAATGGTGTATGCTTCCTGAGCTTCCGCAGCCCGGAGTCCTATGTCCATGACAAATGCGATCACCGGCGCCTCTGAAGTCTCGGTGAGAGGACGAAGGGAGTGCAGGCGATGCAACACATTCGGAGTGGGAAGCAGTTCCTCCAGCCTCCGCAAGTCCTTCAGAATCAGGGAGTGTGCGATAGGGTCCTTGCTGGCATCAACCTTGTGGGATTTGGACTCGGAATCCCAGAGCAGATAGTTCCAGTTGCCGTCCCCGGTAATCCAGATTCCTTCTTCCCCGCTTTCCGGATCACCTCCCCGATCATGAAGAGTCCCATAGTCACCCTCAATGACATGTTGACCAGCTGCTTCTCCTTCTTTTCTCGCCAGACCTTGGCTAATTTCCACAGCTTGCTCGGAAGGGCTTGATCGTGATTGGAGCAGAAGAGCACGAATCGAGTGTCCAGAGCCTGCAATGCCAGGGCATCCTCGTGGCGAAGAATGAGTCTGCAGAGGCTGGCCACCACCTGTTGCAGGAAGAGTAGCTCGGACTTGCGGTGATCGGCTCGATTTCCCTGTCCATCCAAACCACGCTGATATTTTCCCTTGGGGTTGCCCTTCCCCTTTCCCAGACCTTGCTGCTTGTTGGTGCGCTCCGCTTCCTCTGGCTTCCCCTCCGACCGCGGTCTCTTGGCACTGCCGGCGAACTGCTCCAGCTCCATCTCTTGCACTGATTCCTCCGGTTGAAGGAGCCCGCAGTACATCTTCATCTCGTCCTGGGGACTCATCGTGGGAGCCTCCAGCGAATTCGAGCCTGGGGCGGCCAGGAGAGGAGACGGCGCAAACGTCATGAAGCGGCGGTTCCTTTGCAGTCGGCCTGTGCGGGAACAAGATGCTCTCAAGAAGCATACAGCAGCAAGGGATGAGGCAATGACGTAAATGAGCATCGCGCCTGGTGAACGGCTTCCCACACCAGACGCAGGGGTTCGGGGTGGAAAAGGAGCGTACCCGAGCTTCGCACTGCGTGAGGAGTGAAGCATGTTGAGGATGTTTAGCTCGTATGTGTGATTTGATATAACCTGGTTGGAGGACGTACTTGTGGCAAATCGGACAGTGATGCTCAAGCGACTGCACAACCGAGGGATGTCGAAGGATGGAGTACCAGGGACCCTGCTCAAGCTTTTGTCTAATGTCAGGTCTCTGTATCAGCGGCAAATGATCCGATTGCTCCGGCGGGATCACATGAAAATTGTCTCCGTGGAGGGCCGCATGAGCTCTGAGGCCAGCACATTGTTTGTAAGCAACATGCAGGTTGAACTCTGGCCAGCCCCAGAATTCATGATGACAGAAAAAGCACTTCGGCATGCCCCCGCGACTAAGAGCAACACAGTCTTTGGTCAGGTGTTGGTGCCAATCACCCCGAAGACTAATCTTATGTGCCTTAGCCAGGTGCTTGTGCATGTGTGTGATGTCAGCAAACTCCTGACCACATTCCGGACACGCATGAGTTTCAAGAGCAATGTTGGTGATCTCAACTAGCCTGGCTGATCCACTTTCAGCAACAGTGCCAGACTGCTCAGCCATAGCGTTTTGCCAGCTGAGAATAGTGCTGCGACACAGTTGGTGCCACTCTCCCACACGGGGTGGTTGCAGGTCCGAATGCAAAGCAGCTTGTTCGCAGCATCTCTCGGCTTCTTTCAGAAGGGCCGTGTGCAGAGGTTCAACCTCAAGCCGAATGAGAAGGTCGCTGGTCCTTTCTCGAGTGTGAAAACTGTGGCTCCGGCTGACAGACCGCAGTTGTTTAGAGACCAATCCATACAAATCCTTGAGGATGTCATCAGTGACTCCAGTGGCAGCTAACCCGTACAACAAGACCGGTTGCACAAGGGATTTCCACAGCTGAACACCTGTGGAAAGAGTGAGCGCCCGGCGATCACGAAGAATGTTTCCTAACCGAGTGAACGTCTGAACGGCCTTCGTCCTGCGGGATTGATATGTCAGCATCTCAAAGTTGCGGAATGAAATGATAGCACCTAGATAAGGATGCGAGGAGCGCAAAGGCAGTTTCCACCTACCCGCGCAGACTCCTTTACCAGTCGGCAGTTTGCACAGCACCGATTTAAGAGCTTGGGATGCCTTCGGGCCACGAAGTTCCAGCAAAATGACAGATTTGTCTGGGCTGACCTCGAGCTCATGTTCAAGAAGCGTGTCAAGTACACAGGCAGCCTCCCTTAGGCCGCGTCTGAGTGCGGCAAAGGAGCGTATTTCCCAAGTCCCCAGGGTGTCATCCGCATAAAGGGTGAGGGATTCCCGCACGAACTGAGAGGAGGTTCGGAGCTGAATACGGTGTGTCAAGTATCCGGAGGTGATCGCCCATAGCTGGGGAGCGAGCGGACATCCCTGCCTGATGCCGCGCCCTGCAATAGCCTCAGAGTCAAAACCAGGAACCTGAAACCTGATTTGGGAATGGAAGGAGAGGATAAGTTCTGCAAGGCCTGTTGGGACATTGGCATGGAGCCCAAAAGGGGATGGAGTCAAAAGCACGTGAGAGATCAACACTCAGAGCCAGGCCACCCGCCAATGCAAGTCTGTGCTTGCCAGCGCGAGCAGTGTGCACGTTGGCCTTTTGAGACTGGAGAATCTGTCGAATGACAGAACAGTGCGACATGGCCTTTCCAAGTGAGTCGGATGTAGACCTCCCCTCCAAATAAGAGAATTGCGGAAGATCTTGGAGGTACGCGTTGGAGTACGGCTTGAGGCGTTGAGCAAGAACCACCCCGAAAGCCTTCGACACAGGATCCAGCAAGCTAATGGGTCTCAGGGCCTTGGGGTGAGATGGCAGTTTCGGAGGTTTGGGTAGGAGAGCGAGGTATGCAATCACCCAGGCATCGCAGAAGAGTATCGGTCCCTCTGGAAACTGAGCCTGCGGAGCAATCGTGTCGGCCAGGAGATCGGCACATTCCTTCCAAAGAAGGGCAGGAGCATAGTGTTGTGGAACGGCTTTGCGTGCCGCTGTCTGGGAGAGCGCACTCATCCATTCGGACCATGAAACATCGACGCCCTCAGTGAGCCCTCCAGGTGGTGGAGCATGATCAGGACTGTTGTAGAGCTGTCTAAAGAAGTCACGATAGGCCTGGCCTGTCGCCAGTTCACCCAGAAGTTGACCCGCCTCGTCCTTCAGTTGCACACGTGTTTTCTTGGTACGAGGAGCAAACCTCTTGGTCGCCTTGAAGACTCGAGACATCAGGTTGCCAAAGCCTGGCCGATTGATTTCCTCCAGGAAGGCAGCAAATGCATTCTCCTTGCGCTCTTTGGCAGCTTTGGCAAGGGCTTTCTGAAGCGAGGCTAGACGTCTCACCTGCACCCACCGCTGGAAAAGTAGGGAAAGCGTAGGTCTCACCTGACGATGAGTGTTCAGTGTTCGTCTAATCTGCCACATAGTTCGTACAGTGTCACGCTCAGCTGCCGGACGAACTGATTTGTTGGTCGGGGAGTTGACCGGAGCACACAGCTGCCAAGATTGCAGGAGGACCTGATTCAGTTGTGTCAAATCAGTATTAGTCTGAAGCTGTAGACTGACCTGGTGCCTAAAAGTAGTTCGCAGCTTGGGGTCCGTAGCGAGGGCCGTGTGCACCTGTTGCATGGTCGGCACGGTGGGTCCTTTATGCACCGTCCTAGGAGGTTTCGGAAACGGAAGGCTGCCACCAATTGGAACATGATACATGCCCTGGGACGGGAGCAGTGCACATTCGTGCATCGGTTTGGCCTGTTTGCACAGGGGGTCGACGGAGGCTCGACGGGTAAACACATGATCAATCAGTGATCCATGCTTGTTTTCTGGGGAGAGACAGAACGTCCTGCTAGGAGGTCCATGTCGACCCCAAGTATTAAGCGAAACCAGGTCAAAGTCTTCCAGGATTTGTGCATGTGCCTCCCAATCTGTTTGTACCGGAGTCAACGAAGAAGCTGGCACACCGGAACCGATGCGACCTAGCTGTGGCGGCAGTGATGTGTTCAGATCCCCAAGTACCAGCAATCCGTTCCTGTGGGGACACGAACGCAGCAGCTTGTTGAGCGATTGCAGAAATGTCTCCCTTCTGTCCAACAGAGAGGCCCTGGCGTCCTTCGATTGTTTGTCTTCCTTTCTGTAATACCAGGTATGCTGATAGAGTGCAATCACATCCGTATGTGGTTCGCCCGGAAGGCGGATGTGCAGTAATCTGCCGGGAACACGCACATCAAACCGAATTTGCCGTGGGGAAGCAATAGAGTCAGGGATGACAGCGAGAATGCCCCCTGAACGCACTGCCTGCGAGCCTGTGTGTATGAAGGAGAGACCGCCTGAGGGACACGCCTCATGCCATTCAAGATCGTCACGCCAGAAAGTTTCGATCAAGATAAGAATAATGGGTGGTCTGTCGGCTAACCACTGACGAATCTCTGCGTAACGAGTGGCTGTCAAACCCCCACAATTCCATACAACATACTGCAGTCGATGGGAGTGCACCGGAGGCCGGATTGAGCGAGTCGATCGATTAGCTGTATGAGCTGAATGTTGAGCCTGGAGTTGCTCAGCAGTGTATGTTCGTCCTCGATATTGTGTGAAGCCCCGAATGGATGCTCGTCGTTGTGCACGTATGAAAGCTCGTTTCCGAGAATAGTCAGAATGTGTGTTGGGAGTTAGTATCCCGTGCTTTGCTCCGACTGAAGGGGGAGCGAGAATCGAGGGAGCTTCAGGCACCCGCCGGGTGGCAGAGGTGCCAACCCTCGGCTCAAATGTGGTCACCGATTGTGAAGGTTGGACGACAGTGCACCATAGCAACCAAGAGAATGTGCTGCGTCTGACCAGAACTGATCGACCACACCGTCCGGAATTGGGACCGGACGCAGCGACACTAGACAATGGCGGTATAATGTTGAAAGAGAATATGCGAATATATCTCCCAGGGAGTGGTTGGGTGGAGCAGGTTGGGTGCTGCCTGTCAACAGAGTCAACAGAAGATCCACTCAGCCCAGCACCTTCCAGTAAAGAAGCCAGACTCTTGGCCAGAAGCACCGGGTCCTGAACTAGAAGTGCCAGCAGAGCAACCCTATGCAGAGCCCTGGGCCACCAAGTGAGAGGATTTCCTAGTGACAGGATGCTCCATGGCGGCCTACGCCGGCTGTATCGGCGTCTTGGCCGTCGAAAACACCTAAGCCCAGCCGGGGAGTTACGAATACGTCGGACTCTAAGATGTAAGCCCCAGCACCGACGGTTACACAAGCGCATGCAAACAATGTACATCGGACGCGCACCGGAGGCGGGTACTGGAGTCTCATTCACAGCAGCCTCTTTCGGCTCAGGCTCTAGGGGATCCCTCTTCAGGTCATGCAGTGCAGCCTTCGTCTCACACATGGAGGTGAGGGATCGATCCGAGGGGTCCGGGTCAGCGAACCACTGTCTTTGGGCTTCTTGCTAGCTTGGCCCAAGACTCGCTTCTTGCCTGGAGTCCGCCTGGTGGTGGGCTGCTTGCTGCGAGGGGGCCCAGTGCCACGAGCCCTTGCCGTGGAAGACATGGGCTTTTCCGCGGCTGCTGCGCTGTCTCGGCCCACAGCATCTCCAGCATCATCCTGGACTTCCAACTGAGGTGGTGGAGTGGTCGCGGAGACAGTGGAGTCGAGCTTCTTTGCAGTAGGTAGAGGTTCCAGTGTGACCGGCGTGACACTAGGCATGGTACTCGGCCAGGCACCTGGATTGGGGTCAGCCTTCGAAGAATCGTGGCAAGGCCTGATATCTGTGCCAGCCTCAGCTTGATTGCTTTTAGCCTGTTCCGCAGCCATCGGGGATCGTCCATCCATAGAGGAGGCAGGCTGACCCGACGACCGCTGAGACACAGAACTCAGCGGAGCCGGTCTTTTCTTCGGCACCTTCTTCGGGAGCTGATAGACCATACCAGCCGATGTGATGCCCTCACCCGCTGGCTCCATCTGGTCACTAGACAGTCTGCGACGCGGCAATGGAGCCCGTCCCCACGGATCTGCCTGAGTTGGCTGAGACATGGAAAGAGTCGTGGAAGGAGTCTCAGCTGGAGTCTCCGCTAAGGCAGCAATGGTGGTATCCGGGTCGGCAGGCGGTGCCGATGATCGCTCAGGATCCTGAGCTGTGGTGGCCAGCTTCGGTGGGAGCGGCCTCACAGAACGCAGAACAAGGTCGCCCACCGTCACTTCACTCGGAAATTCTCCCAGCTCATCGGAGAATGTAGAGAGTGATGAGCGACTCTCATCATCACTGATAATAGTAGTCTTCTGCTTCTGTTTGCTGCTGCCAGAGGGCATTGCCGTGTCAGATCGGGAGCGGGTCAACTTCTTCCTGGACTCCACCGCGGCTGCAGCTCCATGTCGAGGTGAGGAGGGCTCTTCCCCGCGAGCTGCCTTCATGATCTGAGCACATCCAAGAGCGGAGAAAGACGTGGAGTCATTCGCATCCACAGGGGCTCCATCTACCCCTTCCTTGGCCCTGTCAGAGTCGGCCAAAATCTCTCGAAGGAGAGGCCTCAAGTAGACTGTGTTTGGAGGCCTGGCTCCTTTCCAGGATATGCATATACATACATACATACATACATACATACATACACGCATACATACGCATAGGCATACGCATACGCATACACGTACACGTACACGTACACGTACACGTACACATACACACACGTACACGTACACATACACATACACATATTCATATTCGTATTCATATTCATATTCATATTCATATTCATAAATATATATACATAGACATATTCTTATACATATACCTAAATACATATATATATATATATATGTACACACACCACACATTGTGTATATATGCATGCACGGCCAGATGTGTGTGTGTGTGTTATATGTATATGTGACGACATGTGTATATACGATTCATAGCATGGTCTCAGGGGCCGTGCCTTGAAAGCGAGGAAACTTGAGAATCGCAAAGGGGTGATTCCAGACCCGTTATTCCATCGTCCGGTCACCAGACGGTTTAGGATTTCAGGTTTAGGGTTTCAGGTTTAGTATTATAAGCTTAGGATTTCGGGTTCGGGGCTGCAGGTTTAGGATTGTCGGGGGCAGCGGAATGAATCATGGAAAGCACACGTAACATCGCGTCTCGCAGAGGGCTAAGCGAGACGCCTGCCGCTAGCGGATTGAGAGTTTGTGAGCATGTCTGGGTGCAGATAGGACCATATTATATTACATGACAGATAAATACATAGATCAATATACAGAGCATGTATGTATGTATGTACGTACGTGCGTAGGTATGTATGTGTGTATATATATATATATATATACAAATTCATAAAGTATATTTATGATGCAAAGAGCCCCGAGAAATCCATAACTGTCGGCCTTGGCAATGGCCAAGACGCCTTCATCGCCAAGCGGGTTGTGGCTCAAGTTCAGCCTGCAACTTGCATAGGGTGCTTGAAGCAAGCCATTCCGACTTCGATGGCAACAAGTTGCTGATTCCCATGAGTCTCCCATTTCTTGCATACGAAGTGCGTTCAGAGTTTAGGATTTAGGAGTTCAAGGTTTAAGATTTAGGGCTCAGGGTTCAGGGTTGAGGAGCTCCCCCAGAAGCTCCACCGAAACCGAAAAAACATCAAAATTCTCTCCACGCAACCAAGCTGCTCTGTGAGGCTGCTACAGCCGGACCTCCAGCATGTGGGACACAACACCCAGTATGTAATAAGATAATAACGAATAAAAACTAACAGTTAACAATAATTAATGATACTTCATAATACTTAATAATCACAATAACAGCAGTAATAATAATAACAAAGAAGAACAGCGGTTTAGTAAGAATGAGTTCTCTGTGCGTCCCAATCTGAAACCAACTCCGCCCCGACTTTGATCTCTAGCCTCGGACGAGGAAAGGGCCTCGATCATCACCACAGTCACCGGAGACGGGGGGGCTCTGGTTTTGGGGCCCAGTATACTACAATTATAGCAAGGAACCCCCAGAATAGTATATATTGTAGGTTATACTAAATTAAATAACAATAATTATAGTATAGGCTGTAAGTATTTCTTAAGGCCCATTATACTAAAATTATAGTAAGGAACCTCCAAAACAGTATAAGTAATTATGAGGGCCCTGTATTATGTGGTTTCGGGTTTCGGGCTCGATGCAGCACAGGCTCTCCGCGCCCAGTAGGGCCTCCGCCAACGCAGTGCAGCCGCTGCCACCGATGCTGTTGCTTCGGAGGTTCACCGCCTGCTCTTGTAGAACATGTGCTGTGACGGCGAAGCTCATGGTGCAAAACCGAGGTTCAAGAAGGAAGGGGCCTTGCGAATTTTGCGCATACACGGAGTGCCTGCAAAGTGCTCCCCTCGTCAACATGCAGCTACCAGGCTACTAAGATCCTCCATCAACTTCCACAGCAGGCGGCCTCCAACGTGGCACTCCTTCAGTGCTTTCAGGTACTTTAGCTTGAGATGTCTAGACACCTACTGGTAACATCCTGCAGAGCAGACCCCATTGGCAAAAACCCCTGAAAGCCGGGCTAAGATTTGTCTCCTCTGCATGGCTCCGGCGATGTAGGCCATACCGGCATCGCCAATATTGCCAGAAGCCTCGCTCGGCAAGGGGCTCTCGATTCGCTCAGCAGGCACGACGTTCGTGCAAAGTATTCCAGAAGCAAGCCCACAGTCGGATGCGTTGTGCTGGCTGGAGTCTTTCAGCAGCACTGACGGATAAACTCCTGTTCGTGTGCTTGGCACAAAAGACGATGCCAAAGGGGGCCAAACAAACTGAGATGCCAAGACTTGTGCTCCGTAAGGGCTACACATGAGTTGCTACTGCCGAGTGAAGGCATGTTTGCGATCAGCTCGGTCTGACATTGCTGTGCTGTGCTGCCGTTGCGTTGGTGCTGCAGCTTGTTGTCTTCTTGTGCGATTGCAGCTATTTCGTCTTGCATCACGGTTTGACTTTCTGTGGCCGACTGCTGTGCTCCTATAAGGGTCGCCTGTCCCGATGTGATTACACATACCCCTTCGGTCAAGTACGTGACCAGGCCGTAACGAGGCTGTTGGAACTTCAAGCAAGTAATGACCCTGATATCACACAGCGCAGAAGTTGCTTCTTAACAAGTGTCAGGCACTCAGCACCAACATTTCGTCAAACAGCAGTGCTGCTTCTTCGACGGCATAAAAACACTCAAGCCTCAAGCGAACATGTTTCGACGTGGTCGCCCCCAGAACGACATGAGCCCAGCCGCGACATCCAGCTCCCGAAGTGCGCCGTGGGTAAGCAGAGCTCGGGAGAGCCTCCAAGGAAGCTGCGTCGAAGACACTGGACGTGGCTACTATAGGGGCCCTTTAATTAGAATAGGGCTTTGGGGTATACTATACTGTAATCATAACAAGGAACCCCACAATACTTTCAATAGTATTGGTATTTAATTATTGACGCCCCTATAACATCCCAACGTAGCCAGAAGCAAAACTTTTCGCAGCACAACCACCTATGACTGAGCAGACTGCGCGCCGTGAGAAACTCTTGGCCACATGCCTCAGTACTAAAAGCTCAACCCCCGAGAAACGAAGGCGCATCGCAGAACCCCGAACACGCCCTCCCTGCATACTGGCGACGACAAGGACGAGGATGGAGATCGGGGTAAGAAGGTATTCGACCACCATGACACAGCTGTCATTATCTGAAGTGCTTGGTATTGATGGCATCCTCGATTCTCGAGCTTCTTATAGGAGCGCTTAAAGGATCCTTACAAGAACCCCTAAAGTCACCCTAAAACCCAGCGGCCCTAGCTTCTAAACCTTCAGTGAGCTCCCGAACTTCGGGCCTCTGCGCGCCCTTTCTCCCCAGCTCCTCGCCCTCCAGAGCGAGGCTTTGCAGACTCGGGTCCGCAGCCAACTTCGAAGCGGCCATGGCTCTCGCGCAGTTGGCTTCTTTCGGGCTGAAACCGGGGGGTTTAGGGATTTAGGGCTTAGGGTTTAGGTTTTAGGGTTTAGGGCTTGGGCTTCGGGTTTAGGTTTTAGGGTTTAGTGCCTAGGGTTCAGGGTTCAGGGGGGGGCCTAGGGCTCAAGGGTTGCGAGTTTAGGGCCTCAAGTTGCTAGGCTCCTCGAGGTCTGTCTGATTCCCTCTGGGTCCGCTTGGCTGGGGGAGGGCAAAGTTCAGAGGCGTGAAAGCAACACGGTTTTGGGTTTAGGCTTTAATAACTTTAATATATATATATATATATATATATATATATATGTATATATGGGCCTTAACGATTACCTATACTATTTTGCGGGCTCCTTATTATACTTATGGCGTAATGGGCCCCAAAACCCTATTCTAATTGTTAAGCAGCACCTAGCTCCGTGTGTCAGATGATACGAAGTGCGATATAACGGTATTCAGGTAACACCATGTGACCATGTGGCACCAAATACTTCAATGTTTCACTTTAATGCCACGAACCCTATACAGACTCTAAACAAACCAGCGACGACAGAGCACAAGCAACAACATGTCCACTTCTTGTTGCTCAAGCGAGAAGGTGCAGCACAGAAGTCCTGCGCTAGGATCAGAAAGCATGGAAAATCTGGAGGCTGGAATGCACCCAAAACTGTAAATATCAGGATGATAGTGATGATAAGAAGACGATAAAACGGATCAATCCCAAACCTCCTGCACCCTCGATGCGTCGCTCTGCGTCTTGCACAGCAGCATCGTAGCAAGCTCTATGTATTCGGGAGGACCTTTCGCAGAAATTGAAGGGGTTGAGGGTTCAGGGGCCGACCCTAAATCCTGCACCCTAAAACCCTAAACCGCAGCATCGGACTGGGAGAATCTCCAGGCCACTCACAGCTTGCCCTTCTGCCTCTTCAGGTCTGCGAGAGCCTCAAGGGGCTGCTCTCATTCCGAAAGCTTCCGGCAAATGCGCAATCTCGGAGCTCTAAACCTTACACTGGAGGACCTCCACCCCCAAAACTGCAGGCCCCCTAAACCCTCGCGACCCTAAAGCCGCAACACCCTTAAGGAGTTGGAATCTCTAAACCCGAAACCCCAAACCCCAGCCCTAACCCCTATTGGAGTAACAAACCGGCTCACAGGCCAATCTACTGGCACACCTTGACGTAATCGTACTACCCAAATTGATGGTAGTTGTAATCTGAATAAATATGAACATATTGTGTTCATGGTGATGATAATAGTGATAACAGTAGTAGTCGTCGTAGTCGTCGCAGTCGAACAGCTTTCAGGTTTGTTGGCATCCAGGACTTCAGGGCGTGGTCGTGCTAGTGCTAGTGCTACTGCCAGTGCTAGTTCTAGTGCTAGTGATAATGCTAGTGCTAGTGCCAGTGCCAGTGCTAGTGGTAGTGGTAATGGTAGTGGTAGCAGTGGTGGCTAGCAGCAGCCGGAGCAGGAGGAGGAGGAATGGTGGTACAGTCTGTGGTCCCCTTGTCGTCGTTGTCTGTCGTACTGCCATCAGTAGCGGTCAGAAGAACACAAGCGGTAGCAGGAAATGAGCCAGAAGAGAAACACTATGTACATATCTCAGATATTGCGGAAAGTAGCAGAAATAATGCCCACCACGAACACTCATAATGCAGCATCCAGCGTCATCCAAACAACCCTGTTCCAAACCCAACCGGTAACTAAACCTCTACCTGGAGGATCATGGCACTTAGTTAGTAAGGTTATAAGTACCTTAATTGGGGTTATAAGAAGCTAAAGTATAGTTACCCTAATCACAACCCCTAGTTACTAAGTCCCATGATCCTTCAAGTAGCCCCAAACAGCAACGACGCGAGGCGCTCCTATTGTTTTGCTGGAACCAACTTTTGGGGGGCAAGTGGCCGTTTTGAAGCTACTGGAACCTATTCCTGCCACGTCCACTTAAACCTGGAGGTTCATGGGTAGCAATAAGCAGGAGAACTAATACTTATAACCCATATTAGAGGCATTATAACCCCACTTGTCACTACCTCCAAGCAGAGTTGTCGTATATCGTAGTTGCAGACAAGCTGCCTTCTCTGCATCGAAGTTCGGCGAAGAGCGGGCGCCGGGCGCGGGACCGGGTGGCGGCCTGGCTCGGGGTGTGACATCAGCCTGGAATTGAGCGCCGCGCGCTTCATGTTAGTATGGATAGTATTATTGTCATCATTCGTATGACTTACTCTGCTGCTCTTGCGCTTGGAACCAAGACTCGTGCACTGGTGAAACATGAAATCCGGCACACGGCAAGCCCAACCCCGAAAGCAGATCACGAAGAAGAGTCCCCCAAATGGCCAGGGCTTTGTGTTCTTTCTGACGCTGGGACGAAGCAACTAGTCTCGAACTTTTAGCGTGCTTCCTCCAACTGCACGAAAGTACGTTAAGTACGAGGGGTCAGCCTCCCTGCTGATGCGCCGGTTCCGCTGCTGGCGCCACTTGCCCCGGCGCCCCTCGCCTGGGCTGTCTTAAAAGTTTGCAGTTGGGTCTGAATGCTCAGGGGCCATTTCCTTCGCGAAAGCGCCGTTTATAGTTCCTGATGCAGTCTGGATGCAGGCCAAAGCCATGGAGCTAGAGCTGCAGAGCTCACACTACCGCATCTGAGCGGCCACAACGAATCTTTGGGACAATCTGCGCTTCACGTGCTATGCTCACACATTCGCTATTCTGCTTCATACATCTTCAGGGTTTGGATACACCTACCGCGACGGTCGTCTCAGGTTTCAGGATATCCAAAAGTCCCTTTGGACTCCTTGGACCTGCACCGAATCCATCATTACTATTATTATTATTATTACTATTATTATTGTTATTATTGTTATTATTGTTATTATTACTATTATTACTATTATTACTATTATTACTATTATTACTAATATTACTATTATTACTACTATTACTAGTATTACAGGCCTAGTCACTTCCTTCTTGCGCTTGACCTCGAAGACCACCTGCTCGACAAATAAGAATCTTCAAGATAGTCGGCTCAGGAGGTAAATACGAAGCCGAGCATTTCGAGCAAGTCACAACCACCAAGAGAACAGCTCCGATGAGATCTATGGCAGGAAGCCTCATCGTCGTTCCCATCATCATCATCATGATGCTATTCAAAGTCACCGTCAAGAGTTCCAGAACCAGCACCATTGCCATCACCACCATCACCACCAGCACCACGACTACCACTGCCATGAGCACCTCTGTCCACCAGAACTACGGTACTACAGGAACAGAACTCTCAAGCCTTATGCCAGATCAGCATGCCCAAGAGCCCTGCGATTTGAGACCTGATTTAGTCGAACTTTTTGCTTGAGCCTTAATCTAGACCCCTTGCTCAGCCCTAAGCACCAAGAGCCCGAACCCAAAACCCGGAGCTCAACTCCTGCACCCTAAACATGCCGAAACCCTAAACCTCTGAACATCTTACTGCCATACTTTACCATACTATACCATGCCATACGATACCAAACGATACCATACTCTGCTACACCATACTATACCATAATATACCATTCTGCCATACTATACCATACTATACCATACTATACAATTTACTATACCATACCATTACCATTGCCATCTCCATTGCCATTACGATTACGATTACTACTGTTACTGTTACTATTACCATTACCATTACTCTATACTCCGCTATACCATGCTATACTCATGTACCCTGCCTTCTGCAGGTACTCCACCCGCTCTGTGAGGCTTAGCAGGCGCCGGCGAATGGTCTTCCGCCTCTCGCGGGCCTCGAAGAGGCCTCCGGGCCGACTCCGTAAAGCTCGAAACTCAAAGTCTAAGGTAGAAGCCAGAAAGTTGGAATATCATTATCGTAACCCCTTTAAGGTAAATTATAGGGTTTCCTACCATTAATCCATATTCCAACTTTCTGGAGTTCCCTTTACAAGGAAGATGATCGTATGGCATAGAAAACTATAGTTTTGCATAGTATGGCATAGAAAGTTACATAGTGTAGTATAGTACTGTAGAGTGTGGTATAGTCTAGTATGTTAGAGCCTTCGGACTTCAGGTTGTCCTTGTTTTTCTGGTGCTCACTTCCCCTGGGCCCTAAACGTAGTGGCTGGGAAGGAATGCCAAAGCTGAGGCACGTCTGACACATACGCTCACTTGTGAAGAGCATGCCAACGCAGAATGAAGCTGTTTAGGCTTTAGGGCTTATGTCTTAGGGCGTCAAGGTTCTTTACAAAGTTGCAATTAGGCTGGAGGAGAAGAAGAAGCAGGGCTGAGACGGCAGGCCCAACAAGAGCAGCTGTGCCAAAATACAGGCAGTTAGTTTTGGCAGTCAGAGCCATGCACACAAAGAACTCTTCAAGTCCTTTTCTGCTTCTGTGGCTTGGGGCCTACATTTTCAAATATTTGTCTGTATCTGTTATCTGGCAGTGAAGACAGTGAGTTGATCATCTATCGGAGCAGTTCTGACTGTCTCTCCCACTACGGCACAAGTGGCTGTAACAACATGTTCTCAACCGTTGTGGTGAAGAGTACTTTTCATAAACAGTCATGCTTTGACTGCCAGGCTTTCTGATGACCCAGAGCCCGAAATCAACCATATAAATCCCAGTGCCACCCTAAGCGTGATCCCTATGGGGGGTTATGGTACTTATAACCCCATCTATTACTATAAAAATACGATAACGTACTGTAAAATCCTATAAAGTACTACAATACTACAAGATCATATAAAATACTATAAGAATAACAGGCCCACAAGCCCTGAACCTAGAAAACCCCCCAGAAACCCGAAACCCTGGGAGCCAAGACTGTCCAAGCTGCGCTGCATACCCTCGAGCTCGCCGGCCTCAAAGCGAAGCAACGGGGTTTGGGGTTTAGCTTTTAGGGTTTAGGGTCTAGGGTTTAGGCTTTAGGGTTTAGGGTTTATGGTTTTCGCTGCGGGTGCGCTCGACCCCCCTCCATGGAGTGGTGGGGGGGTCGGCGCAGTCGCTGAAGTGCCCGCCCTCCCACCCAAAATACAAACCTTGGACGGGTTTAGGGTCTAGGGTTTAGGCTTTAGGGTTTAGGGTTTAGGCTTTAGGCTTTAGGGTTTAGGGTTTAGGGTTTAGGGTCCAAAAAGCCTCTAGTCCGTGAATTTGTTCAGGGTTTAGGGTTGAGGGCTTAGGGTTTAGTGGAGCCTCAGCCTTAATGCAGGGATATTCGGGTCCCTGGGCTATCAGTGTAGACTAAGCAGCTATGCCAAAAGACCCTCCACCTCAAAGTCGAACTCTGATTACTATTATTATTACTATTATTACTATTATTACTATTATTACTACTATTACTATTATTACTATTATTACTATTATTACGATTGTTACTATTCTTACTTTTATTGCTATTATTACTATTATTACTATTATTACTATTATTACTATTATTTCTACTATTACTGTTATTAATGCTACTACGATTATTAATATTATTACTATTATTACTATTATTACTATTAATACTAGTATTACTATTATTACTATTATTACTATTATTACTATTATTACTATTATTACTATTATTACTATTATTACTATTATTTCTATTATTTCTATTATTTCTATTATTACTATTATTACTATTATTTCTATTATTACTATTATTACGATTATTACTATTATTGCTATTATTACTATTATTACTATTATTACTGTTAATACTATTATTCCTATTATTACCATTATTACTATTATTACTATTATTACAATTATTACTATTATTACTATAATTCTTATTATTACTATAATTTCTATTATTACTATTACTGTCCACGCCTGTCAAAGGCCAACTCTGCGGTGTCCGGTGGAAGGCACACGCCTTCAGCCCGAAATCACCCCAAGATCCCCTCCGGACAACCCTGCACAGCCGCGACATTCTATGTACTCAACCCTAAACCCACCGCCCCGAACCCCGGACCCTCTACCCTCTACCCTAAACCCAAACCCCAAACCCAAACCCTCTACTTGGAGGTTCATGGGTAGTTATAAGTAGGGTTATAAGTAAAGTAACTATACTTATCTCCCATATTAGGGGACGTATAACCCCACTTATAATAACTACCGCTGAACCTCCAAGTACCCTAAACTGGGTTCCTCCTCCGAAGGGGCCTTGTCCCCTCCGTTGCGGCAGAGCTCCGCCTTTCGTTCCCAGGCTGCAGCCTCGTTCTTGAGGGCCTCAGAGAAAAGCAAGAATATAGGGTTGTAGCGTTCAGGGCTTCAAGACTTTAGTGGTTTAGGGTTTAAGAAATTAGGGGTTCAGGGTTTAAGAATTTAGGGACTTAGGGTTTAAGAAATTAGGGGTTCAGAGTTCAGGGTTTAAGAATTTAGGGATTTAGGGTTTAAGGCTTGGGGTTCCGGAAAAAAGGAAATTGGGTTTAGGGCTCACGGGCTTTCAGCTTTGAGGCTTCAGCGTTTCGGTGGCTTCGGGTTTAGTTTGGGGCCTTAGCTTTTCCAGCTATCAGAGATTTAGGAAGAGTTGTTGGCTTTTGGGGCTTAGCTGGGGCCTTAGAAAACTAGGATCTTTCTCGTTTGGTGTTCGGATCTCTGTATTTGAAGGTTCGGAAGTCCTAGGATTCCCCGACATCGAGTTGGCTATGCAGTGGCTTGTCCAAAGTTGGGTTCCTCTTGGCAGTTCGTCGTCGGGCAGCCAATATCGGGGCCTCAACAACTACGATAGTCAATAGGGTTGACACCATGCTGTAGGGGCCTTAATAATTAGAATCGAACAATTAGAATAGGGTTTGTGAAGTCTGTCTCTGTGAAGCAGCTCGATGTGGTGCCTCTATTTGAAGAAGCTCAGTGTGAAGTCTCGCTGTGTGAAGTAACTCAGTGTGAAAGCGTTCGATAGGAATCAAAGAAGTGAAAAAAACAGTGTAAAGGAACATTCATTGCAGCAGTGACGCAGGGACCGTAGTAAACTAGCAGGAAGTCGGTTAGCACCAACGACTTGTTGCACTTTTGCTGCAAGCTAAGGTAGTACCAAAAAAGGTTGTGGGGTTTCCTTATTATAATCATAGTATAATACCCCAAAAACCCTCTTCTGATTGTTCATGCCCCCAATAATACTGGTATTATTATTACTACTATGACTATTGTTACTGTTAGTACAATTATGACTACTACGGTTGATGATATAAATCCTGCATTACCCTAAGGACCCTAAACTATGGGAATTATGGTATACTCCTTATTATGGGTAATGCAGGATTTCTATCATCAACCGTATTACTAGATTTTAAGCAACTCTGGCTTCCAGAGTAAGCATGGTCGCAAGCTTCTCCGTGTGCTCAGGCTGCTAGGCTTTCAGGGCTTCCACTTCCTAAAGCCGACTTGGGATCTTCGGGCCGTGGTGGTTGTAGCCCTGAAGCCGAAGAAGAGGGTGCTTGCTTGGAGGTTCGTGGGTAGGTATAAGTAGAGTTATAAGTAAGGTAACTATACTTATAATCCATATTATGGGACTTATAACCGCATTTATAAGTACCCATGAACCTCCAAGTGAGGCTGAGGAATAGGGTTCAGGCTTTAGGGCTTAGGGACCCACCTACCTCAGTTGGGGGGGTTAGATGCACGCTGTGCCGCATGAGACATTTACCACCATCGATCCACAAGAATGCATGGAACGAAGACTGCCTAAAGGTGCACTCAGTCTGCGAATCCACTGTGGCCTCATCGCGGCCCTCCATTGTTTTGAACCTTCGCTGCAGGGACATGGCACGCTTTGCTGCGCTTCAGCCTCAGAGCCTTCACAGTTCGAAATCCGAGCGCCCCTCGTCCCAAAATTCTCCTCCTTTACGCTCCAGAATCATAAGAACAAGACCAATAACACGAATACTAATCATGATTATGCTAACTACTTGGGTGGTTGTCAAAATTAGGGTCCCTTTTTGGGTCCTTGTTATAACACGGCACCTATTATGTAGGGTACCCAAAAAGGGACCCTAAGTTTGACAACCACACACTTGAGATTCTCTTGCCGAAAAAGGCATTGTGAAAGGCCCAGGAGCTCGAGCTGAGCCTCCTGAAGTTCCTTCTCTGGGTCCCCACCGAAGGGGCTGCCTCGGAAGCTGGCACTGGGCTGGTGGACAGTTGAACTCACCTCGAAGAGAACCTTCATGGCCTTTAGGGTCTACTTGGAGGTTTATGGTTGGTTATAAGTGGGGGCTGTGAGTCCCTTAAGGTGGGCTATAAGTATAGCTACCCTACCTATAAGCCTACTCATATCTACCCATGAACCTCCAAGTAGGGTTTGTTTTCGGTGTACAGGCCCCCGAAACCCCATTGCGCAACCTTAAACCCTAACCCCTGAACCCTACACTCTTAACCCTACACCCTTAAGCCCATACCCAAAAAGCAACTGAAACGGAAATCACAGCGGCGACGCGCCGTCGCCGACCCATCTTCGCCGAGGCCCTTCTCCAGGAACTCTAAAAGATCCTCCAGGAGCATACCTGGAATAGGGTTTAGGGTTTAGGGTTTAGGGTTTCCTAGGGTTGAGGGCTTGAAGGGCTTATAGGGTCTATAGGGTTTAGGGTTTATAAGGTGTTGGCTTTATAGGGTTTAGGGTTTCCTAGGGTTTCCTAGGGTTTAGGGCTTATAGGGCTTATAGGGCTTATAGGGCTTGTAGGGCTTGTAGGGCTTGTAGGGCTTATAGGGCTTCGGGTTGGGGGTTTAGGGATTAAGAAACACCGACAAGGCAGCTCCCCTGCTTGCTTCTTCGTTCTCAACATCTTCGGATTCTGTGAATACCCTACTGGAATGATCATGGGACTTAGTAACTAGGGTTATGATTAGGGTAACTATACTTATAGCTACTTATAACCCCAATTAAGGTACTTAAAACCTTACTTACTAAGTCCCATGATCCTCCAAAGAAAAGCTGAGGAACTCTCCCTGCGCTTGAAGCGAGTTAGGCGGCCATTTGCGTAGATGCAAGCTGAAGCCAACACCCTCAACCTCAACCCGGCTTCTAGAGGTGCCCGACTGGAAAAATCTGCAATGATGCCGGCGAGAAAACCCCACACCCTGAACCCAAATTCTAGCGGGCAGCGTTGAGGATGGAGGCTTGAGAGGCTCTCGGACCTCGGGTTTCGGATCCCGGGCTCCACGCTGCTCCTCCTGTCCTCGTGCTCCTAAACACAGCTAGCCTACGAACTATGAAGCGTCTAAATCCTCATACCAGAACAACCTCAAGCCTCAGAGCCATTAACCTCCCCCCCCCCCCAAAGCCCCCGAACCCGAGGCTCCCTCCCCTAAAACCCTAAACCCCTATACCCCGAAACCCTTAAAGCCCTAAGCCCTAAACCCCTAACCCCTTATAGACCCCTTTAAGGATCTATAAGGCTCGCGAGGAAACTCCGAGGGCGCCACCTCCTGCCTTCTTCGCGCGCCCGACGCGGCTGCTGTCTGAAGCCTCGAAAGCGTTCGACGAACCCGCTAGCCAAAGTATCGATAGAAATATAACTAGAATACACAAGACGTGCAAGCATAAATAGAAATATAAAATATGTATATATATATATATATATATATGAATCCAAGCATATATATATATATGTATATTTACATATACATATACACATACACATACGCATACGTATATCTTTACCTATTTATAGGCGTGGAGATATGTACATATTAGAAGGATTTCTCGTGTGGTCTCTCAGGGCTTAGGGTTCAGAGCTTGAAAGGTGCGCCGCAGCAGCCAAGTTCGCTAGCGAGGTGAACGTTTACCATAACAAGAAAGGTATCAATGTGGCGATGGAATTTGTGATGCCGATGGCGTCGAAGACGACCAGAATGCTGATGAGGCTTCGGCGATATTGATGCTGCAGATGACGCTGGTGTTGAGATCAAGGTTGTGCGAATGACATGACCATTTGGACGAATGATTCGGAGGGAGCTCTTGACGACGGCAAAGGGGGTGATGACCATTTCGAGCATCACCATCAGCATCATCAGGATCATCGTCTGAAGAAGGACCACGTATCTATCGCTATGATTCTGACAACCATAACTTAGGCCGGTCATAGTGACAGTTGCATCGAAGACGAGTGCGGCCATGAGCAGTGCAAGAGTACAAGTATGCAAAGCGAAGACTGTTCTTAGCAGGGAATGGGGGCATGGATCCCTATAGTAATCCCTCTATAGCCCCCACCAATAGTCTCCATCTTTTCCTCCGTTCCCTACGAAGAACCAGACAGAAGACGACACATACAGAACAGCCCAGCAAGAACCTCGGTTACTCTAAGGGCGACGGAAAGAATTACATGGCAAAGGAAACCAACGGCGCAGCTTAGGTCGCGGGGATGTATGCTCCACATGTTTCAGATACAACAACTTCTTATTTTCATGCGGAAAACATGTTATGTAACAATTAATTAATGACATGCTGACCATGCGCACGGAACTGCAACTCCTGAAAAGACGCGCGCACTTTGCTGCTACAGATCGGCAAGCTCGGCCGCCGCTTGTGCTGGAAGCCATCGTTCTCAACTCCACTTGCTTCTTTGCCCCGTTTTTTGCCCCTGGATCCACTTTGCAAGGCCTACCAGGAACTGCGCACGCATGACGTTTTGGGTGTCGGGGTAGCTTGGGGGCTTGGGCCCAGGGATGCAACCCCAGCCGCGGAATCTGCCACACTCTGGAAGAAGTCGCTGAAAATGGCGCTGAAGGAATCACCACCAGTGTCATACCTCGGCTCCAGAAGTCTGAAAAGAGAAGGAGAAAACGCGATGGAAGCTACACTGCCAAACCCATAGCCAAGACTTAAACCCTAAACCCTATACCCTAAGCTGAGAGCGATACCACCGATTAGGGTTTAGGGCTTACGGTTTAGGGTTTGGGTTTAGCGCTTTGGGGTCTCAGGGCTTTAAGGTTCTGGTAGAGACATGAATGGGCCGTTTCTTGTTTTTGAGGGGTTCGAGAAACCTGTCAGAGGTTGGGATAAGCTGATACACCCCAGAAGACGAAATGCAGTACACGATCACCGACAATGGGACGTCGAAGACATGCGCAGTACTCTGAGGTCAAGGCTTCCGCAAAAGACGTATCCCAGCGAGTTTGCAACAAAACCCTGCATCCTGAACCACCCACCCAGAAAACCCGAAGCATCCTGATCTCACCCTCGAGCGCCTGGTCTGTCTGTCGTTCTTAGTAGGGAGCGGGGGAATGGACTATGAAGACTACTATTGGGGATTATATCGAGACTACTAGAAGGGTCCATTCCCTCATTCCCTACGAAGCACCAGACAGTCGTACCCACAAGCCTCCCGCCTACATATGGTTTAGGGTTTAGGGTTTCCAAGTTCGGCAAGGCGACTCCTCTTCCATCGCTTTGGTTCGTTGCCAACGGCCCTGGGAACTGCGCCCCGCCTGTCCTTTCGGGCTCAGGTCAGCACACGAAGCCTAAACCCTGAACGACCCTAAGGCCCAAGGCCCTTCAAATTCAAGGGCTGTACTTGGAGGGTCATGGGTAGTTAGAAGTAGGGTTATAAGTCGGGTAACTATACGAATAACCCATATTAGGGGCCTTATAACCCCAATTATAACTACCAACGAAGCATGTGTGGCAGTTGTGATCAGCCAAAGCTAGTTCGTTACAGCTCCCTTGCTATCTGCGCCCCTGAAAAGACTGACAGACGCCGTCACAACGATTGTCAGACTTCTATCATCATGATAGTCCTGACCATCACGATGACTATGAGACTGCTGATTGCTTCAACACGACTCATGACGATGATGATGACGACGAGGATGACGATGAGGATGCGGATGATGAGGATTAGCATGATGAGCATGATGATGATGAGGATGATGATGAGCATGATACCATACGGCCTGAAGCCGTAAAACGCAAGCCCCAACCCGGAAACCCTGACAACGGATAGGAGCCTAAACCCGAAGACCGCAAAGCCTAAACCCTAACACCCTGGCTAACCTAAGAACTTCCCGATTCAGGGCCCTTGTGTTTAAAGGCACACAATTTTTTGGGGAATCCTGGCGCTGGGGTTTAAGGGCGCCGAAACTCCAGACAAATCGCCTTCAACTGGAATCTCTGAGTAAGTACTTGGAGGATCATGGGACTTAGTAAGTAGGGTTATAAGTATCTTAATTGGGGTTATAAGTAGATATAGCTAGAGTTACCTTACTTATAACTCTATTAAATTAACTAAGCCCCATGATCCTCTAAGTACCCGCCAATCCTATCTGGCGCTGAAGGCGCGCATGAACCCCTTAAACCCGAAACCCGGGACCCTGAGCTGAAGATTCGCGTAGTGAAGTGTTCTGTGGGACCCCTAGATTCCCCCTCGAAGGAACCCCAAAACCATGGGTTCCAATCACAGGAGCCCCAATACCCTAGGTTTCCCCTGCATAGGAACCCAAAAACCAAAAAAAAAGCCAAAACCCACACAAAACCCAAAACCCAAAAACACCAACAAAAAACAAAAGACACAAAACACAAAAGACAAAAAAAAAAAAAAAATGTTGCCAAGTCGCCCGTGCGGCGGCCCTGCGTTTCGGCCCCGCGCTGGGCACCTACTTAGAGGATCAGGGGGCTTAGTAAGTAGAGTTCTAAGTAAGGTAACTATAGTTAAGGTAACTATAGTTATATCTACTTAACTAGAGTTATAATTAGGGTAACTATAGTTATAGCTACTTCTAACCCCAATTAAGGTACTTGTAACCTTTACTTACTAAATCCCATGATCCTCCAAGTACTTGGAGAGTCAGGGGGCCATTATAAGCGGGGGTATAGGGGTTCCTTTAGGGGTTCCTTTAAGGGTGCCTTTAAGGGTTCCTTTAAGGGTTCTATAGGGCTTACAAGGATTTAGCTTTAGGGAAGTGACAAGTGGGGCTAAAAGTCCCGTAAGATGGGTTATAAAGGTTCGTTTGAGGGTCCCGCTAAAGGGTTCTGTGTGGATTTAGGCTTTAGGGCTTTAGGGTTTAGGGTTTCATGGTTTTAGGGTTTTAGGGTTTAGGGTGGTTTCAAGCGGGGTTATAAGTCCCCTATTATGGGTTATAAGTATAGTTGCCCTACTTATAGCCCTACTTAGAACTACCCATGAACCTCCAAGTAGGCTTCACAGGTGGGGGGCACTTAGGATTGAAAACGTTCCGGGGTCTTTGGGTTCACCTTTTTACGGTTCAGGGTTTACGTTGTAATGTTTAGGATTTAGGGTCTCGTGATTGAAGGTTGAAAGGTGGTTGTCAAGTCGGAGTTTTGAGATTTGGCGCTGAAGGCGTTTGCCTTTGCTTTTTGGTATCTTGACTTAAGACCCTCCTTTAAACTCCAAACCCTACACCCTTAACCCTGCGTTTAGGGTTTAGTAACCCTGAACCCTACTTGGAGGTTCATGGGTAGCTATAAGTAGGGTTATAAGAAGGGCAACTATACTTAGAACCCATATTAGGGGACTTACAACCCCACTTATAACTACCCATGAACCTCCAAGTAAACTCAGTTCGCCGCACCAGGTCTACAGCCAAGCGACGCTCCCAGGCCCGCAGCTTCTCCTTCCGAAGCTTTAGGGGGGCTTAGGGCTTAGGGTTCAGAGGTTTGCGGGTTTTCAGGGTTTAAGGGTTTAAGAGTTTAAGGTTTTAAAGTTTTAAGGGTTTAGGGTTTAAGGGTTTGAGGGTTTAAGGGTTTAAGGGTTCAGGGATTGGAGCTGAGGGGGTTTATGGCTTAGGGCTGAGGGGGTTTAGGGTTCTATGGCTGCTAAGGTTTAGGGTTTATGGGTTTAGGGGTTTCGGGTTTTAGGGGTTTCGGGTTAGGGTTTAGGTCTGGGTTTCAGGGTTGTGTTTAGGGTTTAGAGGTTTAGGGGTTTCGGGTTTAGGGTTTGGGGTTCTATGGGGGCTCCGTAACGGGCTATACCGTATGAGGCCTTTAGGTTCAGGATTTTGCGGCTCGGGGCCTATAGTGCAGGATATGGGTATAAGACTTTGGGGTTCAAGGTTCAAGGGCATACTTAGAGGATCATGGGACTTAGTAAGTAAGGTTATAAGTACCTTAACTGGGGTTATAAGTAGCTATAACTATGGTTACCCTAATCATAACCCTAGTTACTAAGTCCCATGATCATTTAAGTACACCCCAAAGCTTCCAGATGGAGTTGGGAACCTGGGGACTCCAGCTCAGGAATCCCTGTGCTTGCTGCTGTCAGCTGACTACTATAGTTTTGGGGCTCCGGTGGCTCCCGCTGGTGCAGGCCGACATGCTATAGAGGCTCGGACAAGGAGGACGAGCTGCTTCGGTGCTGTTTGGAGTCACTTCGTGCCTTTGCAAGCTGATTCATCGTAGGCATGTGGGACAGAGTATGGAGTATCTGAACATCAACCCTCAGGATTAAGGACCAAGCTCCATACCATGGTGTTCTTGGCGGCTCAAAGTACGCCCGCATCTGCCAGAACTCTATGCTACTCGTCGGGGAGTAAGCAAAAGCTGCCGAAACCTGAAACCCGAAACACTAAACCCTAAACACCAAGAGCCCTTCAAGCCTTAAAACCCTGACCCCCAAGCCCCCTAAACACCCTAAAACCCCACAACCTTAGAACCCTCGGACCATGAAGCCTTTAACCGCCAAGAGGCCGGGTCGCTCAGGGCATCGTAGGCCGCGGAGAGCTCCTCCAAATTGATAGCTACGAAAGGATGGGGTCTAGGGCTTTAGGGTTTAGAGAATGTATGCACGGATGTGTGTATGTACGTATGCATGCATGTATGCGTGTATGCACGTATGCATGTGAAATATGTATGTATGTATGTATGTATGTATTTATGTATGTAGGGATGTACGTATACATGTTTCTTTGTGGTAGATGGACAGATAGACAGACAGGAAGACAGATAGACAGATAGATAGATATACATGTGTATACATATGTACACATAATATATGGCTGGCTGTTACAAAAAATCCTTCGTCCCGGACTGAGCTTCTGTGAAAAATAGCTTTCGCAGAACCATCATGGAACTTCCGCGGAGGCATGTGTAGATACCTTTGCAAGTTAGAGCCACGAACTATAAGCCCCAAATGAATGTGCAGATTCCTACAAGCTTCTCGATGGCAAGCTTTTGAGCAAGGATTTAGTGTAGCGTACTGTGTCGGCAACGTGTTTGCAGACGGCAAGATTTGACGGAAGTGATTCGCTTGAGAACTAGCACCGTAATATGTGTGGATTTGAGACTGGTGCTTGTCTGATGCCTTCGCAGAACAAAACACACACACTCCTCTGAAGAACCAGAGCCTTAAGCCTTTGCACGTCTGCCTGCCACCGCTGCTTAGCATCAGGCAGCTTGCTGACATCGGGATGTTCCTTCCTGACCAGGAATCAAATCTCGCTATTGCGTCTGAAACCCAGAACCACGACCAATGGTCATCATCATCATGACCAACATAAACGTCATCTTTACCCAATTAGGTCATGAGCAACAAAAGCAGCAGCAGTAGCACCACCGCCACAACCAACACCACTACAGTGGCAAGCAGCAGCAGCAGCAACAGCAGCAGCAGCACCACCACCACCACCACCACCACCACCACCACCACCACCACCCCCGCCACCACCACCACCACCACCACCACCACCACCACCACCACCACCTTCACTACCGCCAAGACCACCACCACCACCACCACAACTACAACCACAACTGCAACAACCACTACCAGCAAGCAGCGTTAGTACCAGAAGCGGCAGCAGCAAGCTGCAACGCAGCAACACCACCAGCAACACCACCACCACCACCACCACCACCACCACCACCACCACCACCTTCACTACCGCCAAGACCACCACCACCACCACCGCCACCACCACCACCACCACAGTGGCAAGCAGCAGCAGCAACACCACCACCAACACCACCACCAACACAGTGGCAAGCAGCAGAAGCAGCAACACCACCACCACCACCACCGCCACCACCACCACCACCACCACCACCACCACCACCACCACCACAGTGGCAAGCAGCAGCAGCAGCACCACCAACACCACCACCACAACCGCTACCACCAGCAAGCAGCAGTAGAGCGGCAGCAGCAGCGGCAGCAGCAGGAGGTACAGCAACAGCAGTGGCAGACGCAGGCGACTTCAGCAAAAACATGATCGTCAATACTGCCAACGTACGAACATGCTGAGGAACTGAGCTCATGGTGATTAAACAAGCAGTTGATGAAGTAGGCTTCGCTGATCCCCTAGCTCACCGACATGCAGTCCTCTCGTGTGCAATTCTACACACGCATAGGAAAGACATCGCAGGGCCGGAAATGCTCAAGATCTTATTTTCCTCTTTCCTGATATGCGATCCGAGTTTCAAAGCTTTGCGACGATATGCACGTTTGATCTCTGTTTGAGTGGCTCCGGGCGCCACCTGCATGGAAGGCGGACGGAAATGGATAGACTGTGCAACACGACCTCAACTAAGCCTCGTTGTTCTTCAAATTCGTGCTGCGGTTATTTGGGAGTTTCCGAAAATTAGGGGTACCTTACTTGGGGTCCTTATCATAAGGATCCTACTATTTAGGGTACTCTCCTAGGATCCCCTATGGCACATTTGTGCAACTTCGTTCTCTCCAGCATCCCTAGCATCTCTGAGACCGGGAAGCCTAAACCGCCAAACCGCAAGTCCCACTTGGAGGATCATGGGACTTAGTAAGGTTATAAGTACCTTCATTGAGGTTATAAGTAGCTATAAGTATAGTTACCCTAGTCATAACCCTAGTTACTAAGTCCCATGGTCCTCTAAGTAATCCGCCACACCGCAAGTCCTATGTCCTCACCTCGCACCCCTAAGCCCCAAACTCCGACGCCCGAAGCCTCAAAATCCTACACCTTCAGGGGGATCAAGATGGGTTCCTTCAAAGGGGTTTAGGGTTTAGGGGTTTATGTAGGGCTTAGGGGTTAGGGTTTAGGGGTTTAGGGGTTTAGTGGTTTAGGGTTTAGGGGTTCCTTCAAAGGGAATCTAGAAGGGCTCCCGAAGTCCGAATCCTACACCCCATAAGTCCTGAAAACCCCCGAAAACTCGTCTTCGTCGCCGCTTTTCCCAAGCCGAGGGACTCCCAGGATCTCCCAAGGACTGCCACCCAGCGCCCTGAGCAGGAGGAGGAGTGGTGGTAGTAGTAGTAGTAGTAGTAGTAGTAGTAGGAGTAGTAGTAGTAGTAGTAGTGGTAGTAGTAGTAGTAGTAGTAGGAGTAGTAGTAGTAGTAGTAGTAGGAGTAGTAGTAGTAGTAGTAGTAGTAGTAAGCAGCAGCAGGAGTAGTCGCAGTAGTAGTACTGTAGTACTGTAGTACTGCAGTACTGTAGTACTGTAGTACTGTAGTACTGTAATACTGTAGTAGCAGCAGGTGAGACAGCCGTGTTCGTTGACGAAACTTTCCAACCACCTCGGCGCGCTCGCGCCTCCGGGCCACGGCGGGCTTCCGGGCCTTCGCAGCTACCCAGCAGACCAGAGTCCCCGAGGGCGCCAGAGCCCCAGAGGGCGGCGCCGCGCCGAAAGGCGGCTGGGAGCCTGAGATTCTTTAAGGCTTCTATGAGGGTTTGCTATAAGGCTCCTTAAAGCGATGTGGAAATCTATGAGGGTTTGCTAGAAGGGTCCGTAGAAATCTATGAAAGTTTGCAAGGGTTCTTAAAGCGACGTACAAGAAGGATTAGGAGTTGTCTGCTTGGTTCTGTGCTGCTGGCGCTGGTGCTGGTACCCTTGAGCTTTGGCAAGTTTGATGGTTATGGCAAACGCCAGGACGATAGTGAACGGCGATACTATGATCTGAAGTGGATGACACTGACAAGGATGACAATGATGATATGATGATGCTGATGATAATTCTGAGGTGAGGAGGATGAGGAAGAGGAGGCTGGTCTTTGGCATTGCCGCTCCTCCCCGTGATGGCGACCACAATGATGCGGAAGATGAAGACTAACAGAACTTGTCAACTCAGCGGCCTGGGACACGGCTTCGCGCGGGGACTACAAGGTGCACATGGCGTGGTGCGATGCCCAACATGGTACGGCTCTAATTTGGGGTTAATCACGGATGCTTCGAGGAGTTGTGCTGAGCTGGCTATACTCTCAATCGGAAACAAGGGTTTTTCATGTCAGGAGGAAACGGGGTGTTGGATGTTCTTTGTGCGAACACTGAACCCTGTCTACCGAGTCACGAAACGAGCTGCGAAACACTCGCCTCATGCAAAGACGAGGACAAGATAATGCCTTCTGCAGCCTACATCACGTTACAAGTGGCACATGGAACAAAGCGCAATGCCTGTTTTCCGAGCCTGCAAAAAACCTGCAGTGGCATCAAGAAGGTAGATCCCACAAGTGCAGCTTGCTGCACAGCGTGATGCAGGTGGAAGAGTTCAAGCCACGCTTGGAACTCCTAGGAACTCTTGCCGAGGCCACTGCACCGCAGCGTCTGGAGCATCGATGCAGGATTTGTGGAGAATCCTGGCAGCGCCTCAGGGTGAAGGAATCCCTACCTTGCTGCGTCAAGCTGCGTCCTCTGTCAAGGGCGCAGAGCACCTTGCCTCGGCCTCTCTCTCACACGGATCAGCCTCTGGCTGCATGGGTACCTGTACCTGAGCCCTCGCCCTTTCCGTGGCTCTTCAGAGTCTCTCGGGTCTTCCGCGTACGCCTACGGGCTCTACGAAAGCTGAAACGGTAAACGACCGCATCAGGAGCAGCTCGCAAGAGAAGTGCCCCTTGCTGTTGGGTTAGAGGCTATATGAAGACACTAACCGCAAAGAATCCAGGCCTTGAAGGAGTCAGCCAAGCCATTACGACTGCAGTGGGGCAGGGACGATGCCGGCTCAGTTGTGACGTGGCTCTCTGACTCTTGCCACATGGTGATGGAGGAAAGTTTGGCCGTCCTCTTATTTTTGCGTCCGCATTCTGGTGCAAGCTTTCATCTTGGAAGGTGTCTGTGGCACCCATCTGCAGACGCATCGCACGGCGCGGTACGCCAGCCAAGCCCGTGAAGCCTGAACCCTCCTGGCCTAGGCTTCTCGCGCCCTGGTCGGGGAACTGTGAGTTACCGTGGGGCCCGGTTGAACCTCTCGTTGCAGATGCTGCAAGGACGCAGGAGCCAAAAGCTAAACCTATAGGCCCTCAACTCCCTAAACCCCAAACCCTTAAACCCAAATCCCTTAACTCCCCAAAAACCCTTGTAAGACCGTGCGGCTGCTGCCCAACAGAGCTGGAGGCCCGAGCCTCAAGTGCAGAGCCACTGGCAAGAAGCCCAGTATCGTCGCTGGACAGGTTTAGGTTTAGGGGTTCAGGTTTCCGGGTTTAGGGGCGGTTTGGGGGATCAGGGTTGAAGGTTTAGGGAGGCACATGAGAGCTGAGCTGCTTCCCTTCCGCCTTGATCCGCTCCAAACCGTGCAGGAGCCCCTAAACAGAGCTCCCAGGGCGCGTGCCCGATGTACCTTGGCTGGATCCACCGACACGCCAAGGGGGCTTGACTGCACTATGGGCCGTCCACTTGAGTTCTGATCTTCAACCTATAAACCCAACCGAGCCTACCCTAAACCCTAAACCCTAGGACCCAACGCGAGCTTGCCCTGGCTCTCCGATGCTGGAAGACAGCATGAAACCGGGAGCCTGGTGCACAACGGCACCCGACGGGTCTGCGCAATGACCTACCCATGTAAAGATCTCGATCCTGGGCCCTACCTTTAACTACCAAACCCTACTTTTTTGTCGGTTCCTTTTATAAACCCTAATATGGAAAATATAGGGACCCTACAAAAAAAGTAGGTTTTGGTAGGTGAAGGTAGGCTGAAAGCCTCCTATTATGTCTCGGCCCCTGGAGACCTGAGCCTCTTAGGCTTAGAGCTCCAAAGCTGACTGCACCAGGACAGACGAGGTCTGCACTTGGTTCATGGAAGGCGGCAGAGGCTGGAAGGTGCCTTTCCGAGATGGGGGCTGGGATTTAAAGATCAATCTGTAGGGGCCGTAAGGGTCTAGGTAAGCTCAAGGCGGACAGGAATTTGGTTCGTCGAAGCTTTGGCCCCAAGAATCGCAAACTCCACGCCACACCCACAGCTTATGATCACAGGCAGCGCACGGTGGGGAGGCAGACAGACTTATGCAAGAGGTACCTTCACGCTGAGAAGCATGGTGGTGAAGAACCTTTTGCCCAGGCAAACAAAGAGCTTATTGGAGGCAGCGGTCAAGAACCAACGAGCAGGCTAGTCTTGCTGCAGGAGGCGCAATCGGGAAGTCGCTCTCTTGTGGGTGCTGCACAGACCGAGCAAGGGACATCGGTCCATCATGCAATAACCAGCTTCATGGAGAAGCACTCACTTAGTAGAAGACCCTCGGCACGCGCCTTTGGAAGTGCCGCAGGTGCCCTTACAAACCACACAAGTGCGTGGATCCCGAGCGTGGGTCTCTCTCCTTGGCCAGGCCGGCAAGAAGGCCCTGAGCCAGAGCCAAGTGCGGAAAACTTCGGGGCGCAACCGTTGGCGACAGTCCCTCACTGCCGAACCTGCAATATCAAACGCCGCCTGAAGCCGGAAGTCTCAGGATACGCTGTAGGCTCTGGGCCTCGGGGTATTAAGGACAGGATCCCATGCTCTCCCAAGTCCCCGGCCCCTTTGCATCCGCCCGCTGCGTCTGGGGGAGACTTCTGCCATGTAAAGAAGAGGGGCCTTTCTGTTCGCCCTCTCATCAAATGCTCTCCTTCGGCATGACCTGCTTTTCTTGCACGTGGCACGCGAGCAGGCAAGACGCCAGAGTTAAGCCAGCTACGAACAGCTGAGACGTGCGGTGCCACGGCTGCACCTGCTGCTTGACGTCACTGCTGCACGGCATGCGGCATAGGAGACAGAGCACCTAGAGAAACCATGAGCAAAGGGGCAGCAAAATGGTTGACAGGCCCATGAAAGAGCTTCTTCCATGGCGCAGCTCGGATGACGTCGCCGATACCCCTGCACCCCAGAACTGCTGTCCATGCCTTGTTGAAGAGCACACCCTCAAAATGGTGCTACGCTAGGCTCCCATGGGCTTCGCACGCAAGATGGCGACCTTTTCGTTTCGGAGCTTGTGACAGGGCTTGGGGGGGCTTTCTTGGACCCCTTCAGATTTGGCCCACTTGCGGAATCGACAAGAAGAGTGAAGAAAAAGTCTATGCCTTCTCCGAGGCAAGCCAACAGCAAAAGAGGATCCAAGATGTGCAGGGTCTGCATGCTCAGCCACCCCGTTTCAGCATCCCCCCGCAAGGGGAAGCTGGTTCGCGCCATCACAGAGGCAGCTGGCCCAGAAGGTGATGAATGGCCCCTCACAAACACGCGGGGGCACGGCTTATAGCACAGAGATCTTTTAACCTTCCAACAGAAACACCTCCTGGAAAGAAGCCCTAGCCCCGAGCACATGAAGGCAACTTTTGGACCTTGCTCAGCCCACAAAACTCCCGAGACGGGGATCACGTGGTCGCTTCGTGCCATACACGGTGAGGTCGCTAGTTTAGTTGGCACGGGCACCCAAATCTTGCCTCAGGGCCTTATATGGCCCTAGGGTTGATGCTGTGGTGACGAAGGGCTACTCAGCTACGCTCTCACACACGAAACTTGCAATGGCTCGACATCTCGGCTCGAACGCTTCTACCAACTGCATGTCGTGCCAGATACTGTGCACATGCATGTACGCGTGCACCCTGCCCCTGCACATTGAGGTTTGAGATTCCCCCGAACCTTACGTTCACAGCACCAGTGCATGTGTAGCAGCATCTCGGCAGACTCTCAGTGCGAGTGCCTCCTCTGCCAGGCCCGACCGGTCTGCCCTTTCCTTGTCAGACTAGACTAGGACAAAGGAACACCCGTCCGAATATCTAGCGCCCCAGACACACTGCAGCCGTGGGCGGCGTCCAGTCCATCCTTGCGCAGATGCAAAAACCGCACGAAGACCTCAGAAATCTTTCCCCGATCAAGCTGTCACTTCGAGCCCTCAGCTTTGGCCGGCGCTGGCGGGTACTGGCCCTTGGGCCTTAGGGTTTAAAGTGTGTGCAGGGGTTGCGAGCGTGTGCACGCAAGGAGGCCCGAACGAGATGTACTCATTCTGCTGACAACAAATGACGAACGACACACCTTTCTGCTGTTTTAATCAGCTCAGCTCAATGCCGAGAGGCGTTAAGTGCGGCACTGGTCAGACGCAAGAGCCGCATATGCTCGGAGTCGGCGGCACCGCATTTCCGGAAGCAAGCATCCAGCAGGAGGGGTCGGATGCCAGTCTTCAGAGACCTTGTAGCGACTGCTGCCCAGACATGGTCAAAGTCAGTTTGCTGATGCCACATGGCGCAATGCCTCTGCACAGCATCTGCAAGCCGTGCTGATCAACGGCAGGTTATGACGGTTATGACGGCAGCCTAAAACACTCCAAAGGAACCATGGAGAGAACGGCACAGAAGCAGGCGAGACTCGAGCAGACTCCCACAATCAGGAGGAGGTCTTGAGCTACAGGAACGTTTTGACAGATCAGGTCCCTCAAGCGTTAGGCAGAAAAGGCGTTCACGTCTCAAGCCTCCGCGTTTCCGGGTACCAGCCAACGAGCAGTGCCAGCACCTGTTCTCATCGGCCTTCAGCAATGCAGCAGCTCTGCAATGCAGGCCGCACTTAACGTCCACGCAAGGCACACCTGGCTGGGCCCCGAGAGGAAACGGCCACACTCAGCTCAGCAGAAGCGGAACTAAGCGGTGGGCACATGTATCGTTGCGTGAACACCTCGCCGAAAGCGGCATTGGTGCCAAACCCGGAGCAATGACCATCGATAGCCGTCCGCTTGGCAAGCCCATGGGCGACAGTGAGCACCACACACCGAGGCCAGGAAACCGACGTCGAAGTCCGGAGTCCGCACTGCCTGGCAGAGACAGCCGGGAGGTGGCCGGCCCCTGCCAGCTCCGCAGACGCGAAGCCCATGCCCTGCCATCTTCGCCTTCAAGCATAGCTCGGTGCTACATCCTGGCAAGCTGCTCGTCCTGATCTATGAAGGTCTGACGAGAGATGCAGGGAAAAAACCACTTGTGGGAGAAAAGCCCTGCATCCCGGAAACAAAGCGGTAGAGTACAGGAGGCCACGGGAGCAAGACCGGCCAGCTCGGTCCAGCACCCCGCCTCTACTACGCCGGCCGCAAAGGACCTGCGGGGGCCTGCAAATCTCCGAGTGATGCAGCAGCCTTTGGCTCAGAGCATTACATTCACTTGCGCGAAAGTCCGGAGTTCCGGAATCTTCATGGAAGCCTTTGAGTAGGAGCCACAGCCGAGGGCCGGGAGATAGACTTCGGGAGATGGGCACTGGGACCCACTAGCCCGTGTCACAGGAGAGCTGTGGAGCCGCAACAGCCGGGCTTAGGCTTGAAAACGAAAAACTTGCGACTCTTGGGACGCCCATCCTACCCCCTGCGACATTTCTCAGGTCACTTGGAGCTTTAGGTGAAAATCGGAGAATCGGCACACACAAATCCCAACACGTGAGAAGGGCATCAAGAGCTTCGAACCGATGGCGGAGAAGGACGCTTCAGACATGTCTGTCACTTCTCGAAATCATATGACTAGCACGGCCACGAAGACCAAGCACAGGCTTTGCAAACCGAGAGCCATATCTGATTCCGAGGCTGTGCACAACGACAGCTTCACCTCCGACGCCGCTACTCCGAGTGCCGACGCTTGAGTTTGGCCCTCATCAGCGGACGGCAGCAAAGGCCTGCGACCTGCAGAAGAAAGGCCGAAAAGGCAGGCTTTGAAGCTGCCAATCCGGTGATCTCGTGCCACTCACCACTTCGCTCTCTGTGCTTTTGGATTGGGGTTCCAGGAAGCCGCGGGTTTGAACCCTAAAACCCTCGCAGAACTGAGTATCTGATAAAGACGACTCTGGCATGTGGAGCTGTGCTATTCCGAGGTGCTAAGGGGGCGCTCCGAGTCTCCTGAAAGATTGGAGCTGGAACCGAGGATTTCATGCCGACGGGCAGCAAGGAAATCTGCATGTCCCTGCAATCCTCTGCTTTCCGGGCTACTACAGTCCGACGGCCTGCCGGCAAGCGTAGTCCTGGACGTCTTGGCCCAGGCGCTTGGAAAGGCGGAGGGCCCCTCAACGTGGTGTGGTGCGTGGGATGCGTGGCTTCCTGCACCGGGCCAAGTCGACTTTGATTCTCGGCGTGAAGCTCCACATCAGACTCCACACATCTCTGCATGCGCCAGAAGCTCAGCGAGAGGAAGTGATGAAGGTCGCAGGGGGCCCCAAACCACAACTCGGGCCAACTCGAAACTGAACCTTGTTTCGGCAAGTGTCACGCCTGCAGAGATCGCTTCCACAGATCTCCACGTCGGCGAGGTGTCTCGGTCTGTGGCCATGCAGGTCCAATTTCAGAAAGCCCGTTGCTGCAAATGTGCCGCTAGGTGCGATGCATGTCTTACGAATAAACTTGCTACGGGCCAGACCACAATCCTATCTAGCGCTGGCCTCACACTCCATGCCAGACCTGGATGTTTCCTTCCAGCTACGGGGCCGCGGTAGCTCTGCGGAAACCGGAAACATTTGCACAACAAGTGAGTTGTAAAAAAAAGGAATTCTGCATTTCGTTTACCCACATGGACCCACCGAGTTTCCGCCAGCACTTTTTTTACCGGCCAATTGGGGTCGTCGTGCTGTCTTTACTTCAACATCCTGCAGAGACTCGCGACATAGGGACTCTTGTCGGAGAGAAACATACTGAAGGCCCCGACCTAAACGCTAGAAACCCCCCGATCAGAGCGCTTGGGATGGGACATGAAGCGGCCTAAACTGAACCTGTACCTAAGTAGACCTAGCTGTCATCGGGGCTTTTTTCAAAAGAAGGGTGCCTAATTTAGGGGTCCTGATAAGAGGAGCCCTACGATGATTCGTCTATCTTAGGGTCCCTTCTTTCCTGAAACCCCCCCCCCCCCACACAAATCAAAGTCCTGCAGCCAAGTCGGGGAAGCCTGCGTTCTTCAGAGCTAAGAGGCTTCCAGGAGCAAGAGGCTACGGGCGTTGCCATTATAATAAGGGTACCTTACGGGTTTAGGGTTTAGGGTTTTGGGTTTAGGGTTTAGGGTTTAGGGAGGGGTCTATGAGGGATCGATAGACGGGTTCTATAGTATATTGTTGACAGATAAGCTGGCCATCCACGGCACCACGAACCATGAAGAGTGTCGACCGCAGGGCCCACGAACACACGGCCACCTGCCTTCGCGGAAAGCAGAAATGTCCAGTGCTTCTGGGTTCCGCCAGCTCAACATCATCAGCTGGCAATGAGTTGGCCTTCTGACATGCGATCCGGCTCCGAAGACCCTCATCATGCTGCCAACGGGCATATGCACCCAACCGGTACCAAACGCTCAAGAGCTGTTTACTCCACCCACAGGACTCCGCTTACCCTCAAGCTCTGCGACATCGTCTAGAAACGCAGAGCTGCCAGCAAAGCGGTTCTGCAGTCTCACAAGGCCATCTTTCACGCCTGCATCCTTTTACATTATCGCTCTGCGGGATTGGAGAAGTGCTCTCGCGGCGGAGGCTCGGCCCAGCTTCGGACTGAGCCCAGCTCCGGCATGAGCCTGTGATCCCTGCGGATGTCTGCAAGTTGTTATCATCGAGCTGCAAGCAAAAGCTCGGCATCAAAACTCGAGTGGCAGGTTGCTTGCAAGCTAGTAGCTCAGCACCCGAGGCCTTAGGAGCATGCTCAGACCTGGGGCTGCCTGGGAGTTCCCGAAAATTAGGGGGTACCGTATTTTGGGGTCCTGATAATAAGCATCCTACTATTTAGGGTACTATATTAGGATCCCCTATTCGAGACCGCACCGGGACTTCTGCACGAGGCTATTCGAGGTTGAGGTGTCGCCACTCTCGAGACAAACACCAAACAAGGCCAGCTGCTGTCTACTTCGCGAGAATCACCACTTTGCTGCACTTGCCGATGCAACACAGCGCGAATGAAAGATTAAGCATTCATCTGTATCCACCAGCCTCTCACATGCCAACTGCAAGCGCTTGTAGGCGACAACACCTTTTCCGACAAAACTGCCCACTTGTGCTGACATCATCACATGATGATGGAGTCGCAACTCGACGTGATAATGCATGTCATATGCAGCGTCACACTCAAGAGAGAGTCCAGAAGGGCCATAACGACTGCGGAGCATGCCGTGTACATCTGATGCGCCCAATGCTTGTCGATGTCGCTCCTTTCCGGGAAGACTTACCACTAGGCATGATTGAAGAACCCAGTGTCATGGCAGAATTCGATGGGCACGACATGGTTTATGCCGCGGGGCAACTCGATGTCACTGATGTCTGTGCAGGAACCTCTGGAAGGACAGTCTACGCATTTCCTTGCGAGCTTGAACTGCAGCACTTCTCCAGCAGTGGTCACCTTCAACTGGCTCGAGTCTGTTGTGTGTGTGTGTGTGTCAGCATACCAGCTGTAACAACCTCCTGCGCACCCGCAGCTGCCCCACGAGAAGCAACAGACTCGCTGGAGCTCGGGGAAGACTTACCACTAGGCATGATTGAAGAACCCAGTGTCATGGCAGAATTCGATGGGCACGACATGGTTTATGCCGCGGGGCAACTCGATGTCACTGATGTCTGTGCAGGAACCTCTGGAAGGACAGTCTACGCATTTCCTTGCGAGCTTGAACTGCAGCACTTCTCCAGCAGCAGTAACATTCCCCTGGCTCGAGTCTGTTGTGTGTGTCAGCATACCAGCTGTAACAACCTCCTGCGCACCCGCAGCTGCCCCACGAGAAGCAACAGACTCACTGGAGCGCGTCGGCATCAGCCCCAGAAAGACCTGAAGAGTCTACAGACCGCAGGCACCATCGGTTGTCTCTTCTCGAAAAGGCTTCAGCGCCCCTTTGCGAGTGAAGCTGGGCCAGGGCATTTGCCTCAAAGCAACACGATCTTTCATCGCGGCTCCTGGATGCAGATTGAAACAGCAAGGTCTGAGGGCACCAGACCTTCATCCACAGAACCAGCAGTCGCCAGTAAAAATCGACACTCAAAGTGAAGCCTTTCAAGAAAGCCTCAACGTTGCATGTCCATGTTCACAAGGACTCCTACTGTGATGACCCGTCTGTGAGCGAAGAGCTAGTTGAGCGTGCGCGTTCGGGCGCGACCTGCTGCTGGCGGAGGGTCTGGGCGGTGGCTTTACTCAGGCCCCACGGACTGCCTGAACAAAAATATACAGAGGGACTTTAGGGGTTTAGGGTCTAGGGTTTGGGGAGCACCTCAGTCGGTCTGTGCTGTATGCACATGCCGGATGGTATGCCAGCCTGCTGCCCTGCAGCTGGCAAGCGGCTACATGCCACCATTTGGGGCTTACGCGAGGACGCTGTGAACGAGCCAGTCAGGCATTCCAACCCCTATGTTAAGGCTCTGCCCATGAGTGGCCGTGCCACCTCGGTCCTTTCGAGAGTCGTCTCTGACTATGCCTGCACGGCTACTGAGCACGGTCGCAGTTTAGCTGCCAGCGCAGCGGAGAAGCCCGCTGCGGCGAGGGCTCTGTTGCCCATCGCAGCTAGCGCCACGCAGAGTACAGACATCCACAGAAGCAAAGCAGCAATCCTGTCCGATGGGGCGATGGCGTGTAAGCTACTGGTAGCTTTTGAAGACAGACTCCAGGGCCGCCTAGGAACACTGATAGTAACCCTGATAGAAACCCTTTTAGGAAATGTTATAGGAACCCTAATAGGAACTCTTCGGGTAACGCTCTCAAAAGAGAGTCAGAGCGCTGAGAGCTCCTTAAGCTGAGGATGAATGAAGCCATCCTCTTCCAGAGCCAAGGTCAGCTGAAGCACCGCATACTATGTAAGGTTATAAGTACCTTAGTTGCGGTCATGTGTAATTCTAGGCATGGCAATGGCCTTCGAGAAACCTCACCGCAGCCCTTCTCCGGCCCTGGCAAC